AGCCAGAGTGGGCAGCCCGGGAGCCCACCTGAACAAGTGTAGTAATGGGCACGCTGCCTCTGTCCCAGTAACGAGTTTCAGTCTGGGAACCTCACAAGGACTGCTCTAGAGAGAGAGAGAGCTATGATGGATGGATGGATGGATGGATGGATGGATGGATGGATAGATAGATAGATTTTTGAAAATAAGTAACTTAAAAACCAAACTATGTGATGAAAATGACAAGGGTGGCATGGTCACTGGTGACTTTCAGACCCTCCTACTCGAGGCAAGTGTGAGGCACAGGAGGAAGGACGTGCTGTGTGCACGCACCTGCCTGACCAGCAGCGTGCCTTCTCTGTCCACCCCCCACCGTCTCTGCTGATGCTGTGCCTGAGTTAGGGAGCCAGAGCTGCTCCCGCCTCACTGAAGGAGTGGCTCGTGCTTCTCGTGAAGTGTTTTCCCGTCTTGGTTCTGACCGTCCACACAGCGTAGGTGGTAGTCCTCCATGCCCTAATGCAGAGGCATGGGCTTTCCAGCCTGGGTGTGCAGACCGGGTGGAGAGCAAGGGCCAGGCTGGGCTCAGGCACACCGAGTCCTCCCTCCAAGTGGTGTCTTTTCTCTTGATAGAACACGTTCTTGTGGGTAGAAAACCCCAAAAAGCCCACTGCCCTTGAGGTGGTTCCAACTCACAGAGCCTGATAGGACAGGGTAGGACTGCCGCGGTGAGTTTCCAACACGGTCACTCTTTATGGGAGTAGAAAGCCTTGTCTGTTTCCCACGGAGCAGCTGGTGGTTCTGAACAGTTGACCTTAACGTGAGCAGCCCACCTTGTGCCCACTGCATGGCCAGGCTCCTACTTTGGGTAGACAGCCTCGTCTTCCTCTCCTGGGGCGGCTGGTGGGTTCGAACTGCTGACCTTCGGCTTCGAGTAGGTTGATGAACTCCCCCCAGAAAACAAACTCACTGCCATTGAGTTGATTCCTACTTAGAGTGGCGATCCCTATAGGACAGGGTCGAACTACCCCTGTGGGTTTCTGAAATTGGAATTTGGAACAGCTGGTGATTTTGAACTGCTGACCTCCTGGTTAGCACCCACCAAAGAACCATTAAGCAAGGGCCTGCCGGGTGCCGTCCCTGGCATAGACCTTCCTTGCCCAGCCACCTGCCGTCCCCCCAGGGAGCTGGCAGGAGTGTATCGTCACTTCCTACCTTACAGCCGCTGCAGGACTCTTCAGGAAAGGGTCTCACTGACCTGAGTCCAACAGCTGAGGGGCGCGTCAGCTTCGGCACCAACCGTGCTCTTCCCAGTAGAGCTCTGGTCGGTCCGCCTGGCTGCGGCATCTGACGGCGTTCCTCCACCATCCCTGAGCTTCTCAGCAGCCAAAAGGCAGCCTCTTCCTGCTTCCTGGGCCGGTAGCTCCCCATGCCCGGCCCTGCTGGTCTCTGAGGCGCTAGTGACATCGCACCCAGTGTCCCGGCCACTCGCAGCCCCCGCAGCCCGACAGGCTGGCAGGCAAGTGGTGGGAGTCACACGGTGCTGCCCCAGCCTCCGCTGTGGAGTGCTCGTTCCTCCACGTGCCCTCGCCCCAGGCTCCCTCCCTCCCACCCCGGGCCAGACGGTCAGCAC